GAGCCACGTGCTGTCTGGCCCAAAACCTCAGCGTTGTCCGTTAGCCCTCTTGCTTTGCAGGGGGTAAAAGCCGGCCCCTAGCCCGTGGCCCTGTCGGAGGGCAGAGAGCCCCGCCGTGCCCACGTGCCCGGCCTGACTCTTCCTTCTGCTTCCAGAGCAAAAGCGGGACGTGTACGACCGCTACGGCAAGGAAGGGCTCATGGGGGCAGGTGAGCAGAGCCCCGGTGCGGCATGATGGGTGCACACGTGTGTCTGGTGGGGGGTGGGTGCATGTGTGTACGCATATGGATGTGTGCACATGCGTGGCAGTGCGTGCACATGTGTGGATGCATGTGTGCACATGGGTGTTGGTGTACACATATGGTTGCATGCACATACACGCACGGGTATGAGTGCGGGCATATGTGTGTATGCATGTGTGGGGGGGTGCACCTCTGTGTGTTTGCATGTGGGTGTGTGCATGCATTTGCATACATATGGAAGAGTGTGCACAAGTGTGTGGGCGGGTTTGAACGAGGGGGTGTGCACACGTATGCATGTCTCTGCTCCGTGCTGGCAGGTCCTGGCCGGCGGTGGAGGGTGAGGGGCCCGTCTCTCTGGGGGCGGTCAGCCCTTCCCGGCCATTTCAGCCGCCCGGTGACGTCCTCTGCTCTCTCCCCGCAGGTGCTGGGGGGCCGCAGGCGGATGTTGGGGTCCCCGAGTTCCCCTTCACCTTTCGCAGCGCCTACGACGTCTTCCGCGAGTTCTTCGGCGGCCGGGACCCCTTCGCCGAGTTCTTCGGTGAGTGCTGGGGGGCTCCGTCCCCTCCCGGGCCAGCCGGGCGCCCAGCTCTGTGGAGCCGGCCCTGCCCGCAGGGACCTGCAGCGCCCATGGCCAGGGCTCACGCTGCACTCGCTGCCTTCCAGATGACGTGCTGCCCTTCTCGGAGATGCGGGGCCCCAGCTCCCGACCCCCAGGGCCAGGACACTTCTTCTCCCCCTTCCCGGCATCCTCAGGTAGGTCCTTCCTGGGGACGCGCCCCCTCTGCTGTCCCCTCCCCGGCATCTCCCTCCATCCCAGCGCCCTGCGCTCCCAGCTGAGGGTGCCAGACCCCTCCGAGCCCTCAGCCGTGAGCTGCCACCACCCCATTTTGCAGATTTCTTCTCCTCATCCTTCGGCTCCGATGCAGGAGTCGGCTTCCGCTCGGTCTCCACCTCCACCACCTTCGTCAACGGCAGGCGCATCACCACCAAGAGGTGAGGCTGCGCCAGGCTGGCCTGAGCTGGCAGCGGGGCCCCAAGCGCCGGAGCAGCTAGGCAGCAAAGAAAGGAGCCCCCAGCCTGTCCCAGCTGTTTGGTGGCCTTGGCTTTGGGGTCTGGGTCCTTTGGCCGTCTCCTTCTCGGGCCTTGTCCTGCGTGTGCACACCCTGGTGGCACTGCCACGGGCGCATGGCCCTGGGGCAGAGGCAGGGCTGGTGCTGGGGGCACTCACGGTGCCTCACGGGCTCAGCTCCAGATCCTGGGAGGTGCCAGCCCAGGGTGTGGGACCCCTGGGGGGGGCCTCAGGGGGAAACCATTGCCGCAAGCTGGGCACAAGCAAACTGTGATGGGAAGGGGGTTTCTGGGGTCTAGGAGAGATGCTGGAGGGGGCAAGAGAAGGGTTTGCAACACACTGCTTGGCAAAGGGATGTTGGCCCATGGGCGCTGGGTATGGGTGATGCCGCCTTCTCTCTGCAGGATCGTGGAGAACGGGCAGGAGCGGGTGGAAGTGGAGGAGGACGGCGAGCTGAAGTCCATCCACATCAACGGTGTGTGGGGCAGCCAGGCCAGGGGTGCAGGGACTTGACCAGGGACCCGTGGGGAGCCTGTGTCAGAGTTGGGCTC